TTACTTAATTGACTGTCTATACTTGAGGTTCGCGGATACGCCTATAAACCACCTTCTGCCCGCCGTTCTGTTTAAGCCATGGCGATCACTTCCTGGATCCGTACGTTTCCACTGGTGCAGTACTTAATCGCATGGACCCAAGAGATTTTTATGTCCGTCTTGAAGACGGGACCTGTCCCTCAGCATGTTGCGTTTGTGATGGACGGCAATCGCCGGTTTGCTAGACGGCGCAAGCTTGAAGTTCGTGAAGGGCATTCGGCCGGGTTTGAGAGCCTTGCTCATGTAAGTTGTCAACGGCGGGGAAGTGTGGGGGTGGTGTGACTACTGCTAAACGAGGTAGATTCTGGAAATGTGCTACCAGGTCGGCATCAAGGTTGTGACTGTGTACGCGTTTTCAATCGAAAACTTCAAGCGTCCGACTGTCGAGGTTGATGCGCTGATGGAGATTGCAAGAACCAAGTTGCTGCAAATCATCCACCACGGCGACCTAGCTGACCGTTTCGGCATTTCGATCCGTGTGCTTGGACAGCGCAGCATGATTCCGCCGGACGTGCTTGCGGCGATTGACAAGTCGACTGAAATGACGAAGAGGAATACCACGTATGTTCTTCGATTCCGATGACATTGACATTTCTAAATCGTGACCATAGTGCCATCTTAAACATTTGTTTCCCATACACGTCGCGCGATGACATTGCGACGTCGATGCGCGAAATCGTGACAAAGTCGGAAAAGCACGAGCTCGACCCAGAGACGATCGACGAACGCCTGCTCGAGCAACACATGTTCACAAAGGACTGCCCACCGCTCGACATCCTCGTGCGTACGTCCGGTGTTGAGCGACTTTCGGATTTCATGCTCTGGCAATCGCACCAGAACTGTACGGTCGAGTTTGTGAATTGTCTGTGGCCTGAATTTGAGCCTTGGCGATTCGGATCGATCTTGCTCAAGTGGAGCCGCAGCAAGGCTGTGGAGTACCGCAAAATGGAGATGGAGCGCGACCAGAAACAACTTTGATTGTCGTCGATGAATATCATCATGTGATTGTTTGTATGATGTTTTGCTTTGTTTGCTATGCATATGTTACTTTTATATAGAGATGATGGGTGTTACATAGGACATGACTATTATTAGGAGTCTGGGAATTGTTATGACAAGAGGTTTGCTGTTGTAAAAGAGTATAAGTCCAACGGATCATAGATGAATTTAGTTTAGCTGGAAGTTCAGTGTGGTTCTGACACTTGTGTCGACTGTGAAGTAATGCGATACATGAACCTGTACTTTGAATCGTAATTCAAGTACTATTTACTCCGGAACTCGTATGGTATGATCGATGGACGGTGCCAGGGACAAGCGCGGATTACAAAGAACACAGCAATCTATTTCAGCCCACGGATATGTATTGCAACTGTAAACATTCCAATGTCCGTCAGTAGGGTGACTCAACTGAAGTGGTCAAATGTTGGAATTGCGACCACACTGGCAGGAGATAGATAGCATTTGTCTCGCTTCCGGTTTCTACAGACAGTGATTGCCCATTATACTGACCATGAACTAACTTGGTGAACGTAATCCAGCTCGTCGAGATCGAATGAGCGGGTAAGCCATTCATTCAAATGAGCGGCAGATATTTGCTGTGACGGTGTGGAGTATGGAACGACTAGTATGTAGCTTTGTCGACAGCGTTCCTTTGGCTTCTAAGTTGGGTGGAGATTTCGGAAAAAACGATTTCAAGCAGCCCACACTGATAGACTGGTGATAATCTCTTATTCGACGCTGCGGTTAACTTTGCCTTGGACGAGCGGCCGAGAAAGAGAAGAGGTACGGCGGCATACTGAAGCTAGGACCATCGATTCGGCGTTCTGCGATGACCCATTTGCACTTAGCGTGTGTGAGCTCCTCTGTCATATCAGTCAAACCCCGTTAACATAAGGACGTCTGAATTCTCATTTTTGGGGTGCGAAATAGGACTGGACTAACTTGCCAGAGCATTGCATTGTCGCTGGATGTTTGGACCAGCAAAAATTCGAAAGCCATGTTGGGGAGTGATCGGACATTGGATGACCCATGATTTTCAGTATCGGGAACATGTTCTTGAGTTCACGGAAATATGCGGTGCTCACACTGGAGAGAATATGGCAGATCTGTTGCATAAGACCTTGGCAGAGATCGCACGCTTCTTACCAAAGCAGCGACGGCATCCGAGATGTCAACTTTATGATAATCAACGATCGGAACAAAGCGAACCTCATCACTGCCGACAGGAATTGACATATCCAGTACATGTATTGACACCTCCGGTTGACGATGAAGCAAGTACATTACCGCTGGCAATGCCAATACAGCCAGCACCGCCAGTTACTAGAAGAGAGAGCGTGCGGTCGACAGGGTCCATTATGGGATTATGTGCACGTGCCACATTTGTCATTCATGGGCTCAGGAGATGAGATATTGCGAGTAGGTTGTTAGTTAACTAAATGGGTAATCCAACCAAGGACATGATGTCGTGGACATTGAATTAACCTTGAGCGGTGCAGACACAAGCGTATCTCTCGGACTAGGGCCACTAAGGCTATGCACGGTGTCAATCTCAGTCTCGGTATATAACAAATTAATGCAGTTCACCTCGACTCAATATTAACGAAAGTCCGAGATCATATATTGACAGTTGCTGGCGGTCAAGTGATAGCGACTTTATTATATGTCCGACGTTACCAGCTTATGTAGAAATTTCAGATGTGCTAATCTAAAAATTGAAACTGAAACTAGTTTTCGGGTGGTCACACTGGAACCGGATTTTCTGCACAGCGTACCACTAATTTAATTGCAATCTGTCGCACTTGCAGTCTTCGTGCCTGCATAAGAGTCAATCGAAATTGCCGAGCGATTTCTTCATTATCTTTCAAATCGTACACCAATATTGATTGCAAAAGACTGTTGTCCAAACGAGAAATTCATACCTGTAACGATGGTCTTCAGCGACTATAATGAGACAGAGCAATACATGCCTGAGGAAGAGGATTGATGAAGATTATCTTAGAATTGTGCTCATGATCGCAAGGTTAACTTCGTCGATTAGATAATACATAACAGTTACATATACACATAAAGTAAAGTTCAATTATGTCATAATAAAGTGTTTTGGGTTTCGGTATGCACCCATAGGACTCTCCGACGGCTCTCAAACAATAATTTTAAGCCGCTCGTTTGTTTTTCTCAATTCAACTGCCTCACAGCAACACTGCATATATTGCTAGTTCGGTTAGGATCGTATCTATAGTCATGCCAGCAAATAGAAGCTCTGGACGGGACGTCTTCATGTACCTTGCCTCGGTTCCTACAGTCAGCATTGGAGGCGGTTTCACAAACCCAACTTTAACGAAAATGGCGTTTCTAGACTCGTTGGACGTGCTGATTACGCATGACTCTCCTCTTCGTGTGTATAGGATCAATGATGGCCGTATACAAATTCAGCGAACTCAAGATTCTTTACTGCCTGGGGAGTATGAAGTTGAGAGTGATGGTAAGTATAATTTGGTGCGGAAAGTTTAGAATATGTAAATCTACATCTTAGCAAGGATATTTAGCAGTTACAGACGCGCCGTACTACCAACGATCTTCTTCTGCCATGTCTTCTCTCTCTTCATCAGGTAGAGTCAAGTCATTTCTGGCTGCAGTGAGACCGTGATCGGAGATGCGTAATTACCGGGCTTGCTATGACACAACGTGAGCTCGTTCTGCAGCGCTGGACAAAATATGAAGCAGCGCACACTTTTCCTGTGGCTCTCGAGTCTATATTTCAAAATTACAATTTCGCGGAATTAACCGTTCTAGACGAACGTGATGGTAGTGTAAATTCTCCTCAGAATGGACTTCTGCTCCAAAGGCTGAACACGATCTGTTTGACCAATATGAAATTTCAATCAACCCGAACATATGAGTCAACTTTAACCCACATTGCCATATTAAGAACTCTAACTTCATATAGGATGACTACCGCATAGTCTGCTTCCTTGATGATAGCTTAGGTCTTGCAGGGCGACAGCTGGATCCTGTATGCAGGGACCCTGGACAGCCGCACCACGTTAATGACAATGTTCTCTTTTGGCACTTCCAACAAGCAGTTCTGGCCAATATGAGAGCGGCAGGCGAGCCAATATTTGATGAGGACATCCCTCCCGGCTCTGATACCATGAATGCCATCCTCAGCGGCCCTGTTCCAGGGGAGCGTATGGAATTTGAGTTGTCAAAGAGGTTGGGTGATGTGATGCGGGCTCAAGGATCATTTTCAATCAAGTGATGGCTTTACGGCAAAGGCCCAGCATTACGAAAGAAGACGGAAATCGCAAGAGTTGCTAATATATATTAGATTGCGGAGTTGCTCTTTTCACAGCCAATGCTCGTTGCTATTCGTATAACTCATTTCCGCCGGCGGACGAGTAAAATTAGTCTGATAATCATTGCAAATACGTTAGTTCGCGTGAAGCTGTACAGAATGTTTGTCAAATCCCAACCACCATTAGTCTTGTAGAGAGATTATATAACGTGGACTATTTGGCCTTATGGTCTGTTGTAATATTCCAACCTTTTCGCGATGCCTATAATCACTAATCACTGGTTAACATCGATCAGGGAAAAGGTTCCGTCTGATGAGGTTTGGTGCTACTCTTTAATTGCGACAGCATTCCCCACATATCCCAATCGTATGAGTGCCGCGCTGCTCATCGCCGTCATTATCTCCTCTGCCGTCTTGCGCACACGGCGAAGCTATATCGGGCGGCTTGCGAATGAACCCAGATACTGTCGTAGTCTCAACAACCACAATCTATGCCGACTAGCCGGTATTCTTTGGCCGAAAGGTCGTTAAAGTTGTTTGCAAATACTGGCTCGTTCCACCAACAAATCTAATTCCACTTAAATTCAACTAAGTGCAAAATGCATGCCAATGCCAACGCATACAAAAAAACAACTGCGGTTGCCGGGATTTAAACCCGGAATTTCTTCCCTGCCAGGGGTCGAACCTGGAATCTCCCGCTACTTACTAAAATTGTATCGTAGGCGGACGCCTTGCCATTGGGCCACAAGGAACGTTATTGTAAAGCCGTTGACAAAACCTGCCCTTTGTATCAAAGAGGCAAAGTTAGATTGTGCGTTAATTTGTACATTTAACCGAACAAAAATGTAACGATCTCTTTTGTAATTATTAACTGGCTTACAGTCAAATTAGCAGTATTCATTCTTGCTCTCTTTCTTTCTTCAATTTGTCTATTCATTTCTCGCTCTTCGTTGGGTTTCGGGACTATTTTGTAAAATTTCGCATAGACTACCTGTTCCAAAGAAAGAAAGCGAGGTAAAGTCATTACAATGAAGGCTGGAAGTGTATGAGTACAATTCCCAATGTCTGTAGAGATTATGTAAGACTGAAATATTGAAGATATGTCAGCCGTCAGGTATAAGCTATCAAGAGCATGATTGCGAGAAAATGAGACCGAGTTTCCCATAAAGAACTATTCTTAGATGATGACGTTGCCGTGATATCGAGTGCTCTTCAGACTCTACCATTACCATTTTAACGCCATGGATATAGCCCAGATCACAGCAAACCTGGTGCTAGCTGTCACGATAACGAGCCCCGTACCCGCGATTGCAATCGCGATAGTACGCCAAACATTCGTATAAAATTTAACACCTCATCGCTTTGTTACACTTCAGCTTGCATATATCCCCAACTGATATCCACGGGCAGAGTTGTCATACTCGGCACTTGAACAAGAGTACAAGCTACCTACGGATCCGAATAGAATGATCAGGAATGGTTGTGACTGAGACCATGGCGTAGTGACTGACAAAGTTTACACCGCCACGAAACGTAGACGCGTGTCGTCGTGTGCATCCCCTACTTCTAGTTCCCGTCTCGCTCGTTCTCATTTCTCAATTTTGAAGTTGGATACTCTTAGTATTCATTGTCCGGCAGCTTCCTATTACGTCTTGGACACTATCTATAAGAGACAGCATGAGAGTCGCCGACACCGATGTCCCAAGTTAGTATCCACGACACAGAACGTCGCAGCGTCATTGATCTGGTTGCCTACCAGCTAACGATCTCTAGAATTTGTGCTTGTCCCAAACCACACCGAGATCGAAGTCTTTTATCACAATCCTTTACACCGAGAGCTTGCACCATTGGTGCAGTATCGGATCAAGTCTCGAGACGAAGCGACGGTATCATCCGAGCCCACCGACTCCGAACTGCTTCCAACACTGAGTGTTGCACATCAAATCTATGATTCATACTGCGAAACTGCAATAGGCGACTATGAGCTACAACAAGAGCTTTTCTTCCCCCGTCGGCCACCGTGCCACAACGGTGTAGAAGCCGTCGCTTCTGGCGAACCATCCAATCCGCCCAAGAAATCTCTCGCGGCCAGGTTTTTTAACCCAAAGCCAATTCCACACGAGCTCGGTAAAATTATGCTTTACAACCCGACAACGGCGCATCCCGTCTCGACTATGCTCGGACAATTCTTGAACCAGAACAGTTCGGCTCTCTACGACTCTCTCCGCCACCACGCCTGTCCCGCCGGCTTCGCATTCGCCTATATACCGCCTCCTTCGGTCACGACAAAGAAGTACACATTCGTATGGAACGACATTGACATCTCATCCTCATTCGGCGGGCCAGCAAGCATGTCCGGAAAATGCAACTTTGTGGACCCAGCATCCAAATTCACCCGTATCACTGTCGCGAAACTATACATCTACAATCTCGACAAGCTATTATACCCCAGCGCCGCACCACCGAGTACGTCGGACGAAAGGAATAACGAGATTGTGCTTATCGAAGATAACATTCGGTTGCTGGATGTCGATGTTGATAGGAAAGGCTTTGAGGCGAGTTTGCTGCTGTCTGTGTTTATGATTGCGGCTGCGAATGAACGTGCGCGGAGAATGACGTCGCGCGAGAAACGGATGAAGAAGGACTTGGAGTCGGCCGAACGTGCCGAGCGCGAGAAAGTTCGCGTCCGAGCTGAAGCTGACGCCCAGAAGAAGCGCGAGCAGGCCAAGGCCAATGCTAAAGCTCGTGAGGAGTTGCGAAAGAACGAGGAGTTTGCGAGAACACTGCAAGAGAAAGAGCACGCTAAAGCTGATAAAGAGAGATTTAGAATGGAAAGAGAGGGTGAAAACTACGCGAAGTTGCTGGCCGCGCGAGAGAACGAAGCTCACACGAAAGACGAAGAGTTGGCTCGGAAATTGCAGAACAAGGAAGAGCGGGAACTGGCGAGGATGCGACGAAGTGATGAGGAATTCGCTCGTAGACTGCAGATGCAGGAAGACGGCAATAGATCAACTCGAATCTATGGCATGAAGTTGCCAAAGTTCACTTCGAAGCTTTCCGCACAAGACTTATACAAACACAAGTAGTATCTATCTATAGCTATTACTTACAGCTGGTATGATTTGATACTCGGAGGCGTATAGATGGATTTGATGGAATACATAGGGGATATTTAGCATTGACAAACATATGACAATAAACCATTTTGGCGGATAATATAAACCCATCAAAACATAAAAGACAATAGACCCATATAATTTATAACATAAAGCATAAAGCATTCTGAGCTTAGACATTACCTGTGACTGGCATCTGCTTATTTGTATATGCCATATCTCGAAGCGAATAAAACAAACAAATAAACACGATTCTCCATAACTAATACAATTAGATGCTCACGCTCGCGTTTTGATACTCTTGGACACTTGTGGCTGGTTTGTCATGTGCGGGTATTTGATTCCCTGCTGCACCTTGGGGACGAAGTAAGGGTGCTGCAGGGCGCGTTTGGCTGAAATTCGGCATGAAGGGTCGTACACCAGGAAAGATTCTAAAAGATCAATGCCATCTTGATCAAGTGCTGCGATATGCTTCGCTAAATCCTTGCGACTCCACTGCGGGAACGTGGTCTTGAAATCCGGGAGCAGCGACACGCCGGGCCAGAGATCCTCATCTGGCGTGCCGAGCAGTCTGAAAATCTTGAAAATCTCGTCAATTTCCGAGTCGCCAGGGAACAACGGCTTGCGCGTAACCATTTCTGCGAAAATGCAGCCAATTGACCAAATATCGACGCCAGTTGAGTATTGGCGGCCGCCGAGCAGGATCTCGGGCGAGCGATACCACAGCGTGACAACCTCGTGCGTGTAGACTCGCAGAGGAACTCCGAACGCTCTGGCGAGACCAAAATCCGCAAGCTTCAGGTTTCCTTCCTTGTCGATCAGCAGGTTCTGGGGTTTGAGGTCTCGATGTAAGATTCTGTGTGCGTGACAGTAATTCGTGCCTTGCACCAGCTGCGACATGAATCTTTTAATCATATCTGCCCCAAGACCGACGTTCTGTGGGATAGCTTCCATGTACTTTTTCAAATCCATATCAAGGAACTCGAACACCAAGTACAGCTTGTGATTGTCGGCGTGAACAATGTTGAATAGCGACACGATATTTTCGTTTCGCATTTCCTTGAGCAGCGAGATTTCTCGAATGGCTGTAGATGGAACGCCCTCGTCCTCAGCTTCCAACCGAATCTTTTTCAATGCGACTACCCGGTTGTTGTTTGTAGTGTCGCGGGCCTTGTACACCACACCGTAAGTTCCTTGATAACAAGTTGTCAGCCGTTGCATTCTGTAGTGTCTAGTAGGTAGCTTACCTTCACCGATCTTTTCTAACTTCTGGAAATCCGAAAGCTCAACCATCTTGAACTACTAGTCCTCTATAAATCGCGCTTGCCGTGCGCGTATAAATCCGTAATCAAAAGTGTACTGATTCGCAGCCGAATCCAGGGGAATCACCAATATCGCCTCAAAAACTTAGCGGATACCAATATCTCTTGACAACGGGATCTTTGTGGAATTGTCGACGAAAATCAAACAGTCAAGGCTTGCAAACGTGCACGAGTTACTACAGATCGAAAAGTGGGCAACGTAGTACAATGGGCTGATGATCACTGCGAAAATAGGAGTTTGTGGAACACGTCTACCCGTTCAGGCAGGGGTAAACAAAGGGCGGCCACACACAAACAACCAGCCACACACATTCTCTTCTTACTAGCCACATCGCCGTCTCCCACTCTGCCCACTCCGATTGTGGCCGTGCAATCAAGTGACGCGAATTCCGCGATTTTGTACCCTGGCCATTAAAATTGAACCAAAACCAACTAAGTTAACTTAATTGTTATATATACTTAAGATAATAGAGGCATTTAATTATGAGTATCTTACAATGCCATTATATACAAATCCATATTAACTCCACACACATACTTACCATTATATTCTGTAGGACAAATCTATTTTGTCTGGGCAAGCGTGCCTAGCAATGCTTGAATAGCACCGCGAGGCCGACGCAACCTCATACAAAGAATCAGAACCGAAGTCAAAAGTGCAAGACTACCTGCCTGATGCGAAGCTGCAATCGGGGTCGGAACCAAGTACAAAAGTGTGGTAATGCCGAGCGCGACTTGCAAAACCGCGAACCCCACCACGCCGTGAGAGCCACGGTAGATGATCCGCGGGATCAGGGTTTTGCGGTAGAGTCTGCTGGAAAGGAAATGGAAACCCACGATAGCGGCAAAAGATGTGGTGGCCATGATGCGGTGGATCAGCTGGACGGTGACGGGATTCTCCAGCATGTTGCGCCAGATCAAATCAGAATCGTCTTTTCTACGTGCGTAAAAGGAAGAAAATAATTCAGATCTAGGAGGGATGAAACCTTCGCCCATGTAAGGGAACTCGTTGTAAATTAAGCCCGCGTCGAGACCAGCAACGAACGCACCTGGAAATCGTTCAGTATTCCGTATCTGACTACATAGGGACAAGCATCGACTTACCAGACATTGCTGTCAAAAAGACAAGCCCAAGTAATCCAGCAGCAGCATACTTGTAGGGCTTCAAAACCGGATTGCTTAGCATAGATATATTGCGTAGGGCTTGTTTGGGCTCCTTGATCCATCGATTCTCCTTCAATGCTTCCAATCCGGTCCAAAGCATGGACAGATACACAGCAAATGCTAATCCCAAGTGGGTCGCCAACCGGTACT